GCGTTTTAATCGAGTTCATATCGCAACTATATTAAAAGTTAATTCAACTATATTAAAAGTTAATCCAATGAAGTCCTCGGAACATATTGCAATACAAGTATGTGTGTGTGTGTGTGTGTGTGTGTGTGTGTGTGTGTGTGTGCGCGTGCGTGCATGCGTGTGTATGTGTGTGTGTGTGTGTGTGTGTGCGTGCGTGTGTAATATGATAATGCTTTGAATTCAATATGATTATGATTTCTTTGTATTATCATCAAGTTGTTTAAAAAAAATGTTTATCCGTGCTGAATATAATCTGGTAGGGTTTCTGCAACAACAACCTTGGCAAGATATATGAGGATGTCAGCTTTTCAACCTTGACCCGTTTGTGTATTTTCAGGGCACGCATTTTATTGAACTATGTTGTCAACGAGGAATTCCACTTATATTTTTACAAAACATCACAGGTAATATATATTTATACATGAATGGTGATAATTTAAAAATTATTTGCGAGTAAATCATAGATAATGTGTTGTATTGTGAGAACAAATATGTATATTTTTTTTAGCATGTGGCATAAGTAAAAATATCAATGTTGCTTCATTGCCACATATTATTTTCCCTATCACCTGCAAATGACTTGTTTCCCTCTGTGTGCAGTTTTTTTTTTTTTTTGCCTTCGCAGACGAAGTCTGCCGAAGGCTTATAGATTGGGGTCCATTCCATCTGTCTTTTACCTCTTATAACTTTGATATGCTCTGTCCAATGTTTTTCCAAGTTGGTGCATATGTAATTCTCAATGCCATACATATGCACGCCAAGTATTTTTTTGATTCGCCAAAGTTTCATTGTGTTTTTCTGTGATTTTCAACATTCTACTAGTAAAAATGCCAAAATTTGCCGGAAAAATCCGAGTTTTAACGATATCTCGCAAGAGAACTGGCATACCGTATTGCGCATGCGCCAGTCTAACCGCTAAGGAAATCGGCGTCGTTTTCGTCTGAGGATATTGTATTCCGGGACTGTATCTTTCTTTGCACAAGGCTTATATAGATTAAATTCTATCTCAAAGGTAAGAAACTGTGCTTATGGTATTTATTATGAACTTTGATTTATCCTTTTGTGTCCTGACTTTGGTGAGAAACTAGCGATCGCACCAGAAAAACAGTCCTGCTATTAGTTTAAGAACTGGTTATGAAACGTGTAAATCGAAAGTTTATCTCTTCATTTAGGAGGCTTGGGAATAACGTTTGGCATATAAAATACTGGAATAATAAAAACGTAAAAGTTTAGAACACGCTGATCGTGATTCTGTTATGCACGATTGCTATTTCCGGTGTTCATTGGCAACTGCTAGCAGATTGAAACTTGGTTTCGTGACGCCATATTAGACTAGAATTATCGAGAAAACACAAGTCAAGTTCGGCCAACCGTGACTGCTTGAAAGCAATGATGAAATTGAAAAGTACTGTAATTCAATATCAGTGAATCTATCATCACTTTAAAATTACCTTTGAAGTAAATATGATACCCGAGTGCGTTACTACACTCGTGACCGGGACCTCCATGCTCCATGCGGTGTTGAAGTTTATCGGTCAATCGAACCTCACATTTTCCCAATCAGCTATTTATTTCAGTACTGAAGTCAGGGTGGCAATTTCAATGTTTAGCTACCATAATTTATCTCCATTATGAGCAGGAAAATAAATTACGGACCTCGATTGAGATGGATTTAACGGTGACCATGTTTTTTATTGTTGACATTGTGCATTAAGGGATATGTGAAACAATATTAGGGAGGGGGTCAAATTCACGTAATCCTCAATTTTAATAGTCATAATTTTTTTTTTAAAAACTCCGGATATTATTTTATATATTATTTTAATACAACTACAATATGTTAATTAGTATGCAAATTAATATGCAAATTAGCAGCCAATCTGAGACAATTTTCTAGAATGAACACTGCAATCCAGTTCAAAGGAAATTTGACATACACTTAGGTTACTACCTCTGCTGATTAGTTTTTTATGCACTTCTATCTGCTTTTATATTAAATGTATTATTTTTTTGTATTTTTCTCAATAGTATTTTTTTATTTCTTTTGATAGCTTGGCATTCATTTGGTTCAGCTCAAGTGAAATTTTCTGCATATTCCTGGTCAGATTTTAATGACATTGAAAACACAAGTACTCTGGCTTTTTGCACATTCTTAATATTTTATTTTTGCAGAATCCCGTGAATATTAATTTGACAACTTTGTAGAGTGGAAACAGACTGGTGAATTAGTTCATCCTAGACTTTGGTAGAACATGTTTAAAATAGTACAGTGTGAACTGCAATTTCTTTCTGGCTGGTATAAATTTATTAAGTAATATTTTTTCGTACTAAAAAGACTCAAATATCTTTTTTAATTAAATCTAACAGCCAATGGGAGCACATATGCTACAACCTCTGCTTACTTTGGACTATTAAAATGTTTTTTTGTTTTTTTTTCAGGTGCAGAGCCAGATTTTTTTCTCAGAAAGCAAAGGCACTGGAACTACATGTATTACAAAAACATACCGGTACTATTCACTGCGTGTCTGACAATTGTATAAAGTTTCGCAGGTCCTCTTTTTTTTACTTTGAGAAGTTCTGTCAACCAAAGCATAAATATGTGTTTCTCTGTACATAAAATTTCACACGATTTGTTAATATTAATGTATGATAATAAAAACTTGATAATATTTTTCTGGATTTTTGCACTTTATTGGTATCATTATCGTATGAGAAGTAATCTTGTCCTTATTAGAGATATTGAAACTAATCCAGGGCCACAAACTAGTTCATCCAAACAGACACAACACTGACTCTACATATTTGTATACTTCCTTGTTATTTTACCTGTTGTACTGGTTTGGTGCTATCTGGTTTCCTTGTTGAGAATAATGCTGATCTGGATGGAGAGTGCTATAAACTTGAAAATGCCATAGAAATCACGTTTGCCAATTTATGTCCATGCAACTTTAGAATGACAACTAGCGAAGGCTATGTCATTCATGACTTGTGTTATGTAAAAAAATAACATAGGGTTTAAAGGTTTAATTGTTTGGTGGAGATTGATTAATGCAATATTAGAATTTACTATATTAGAATTTACTGTTCTGTGATTCATTCCAAAATGTATCCTTGATTTTTTTTTAGCTCCGCTGTCGACTTTGTCAAGCGGAGCCTATCATATGAGTGATTGTCCGTGTCAATGTTTTATTTTTCCGACTTCTTCTTGAAAACTACAAGCCTGAATGCTTTGATACTTAGTGTATATGTACCTTGGGTAGACCTCTATAGATATCTTCAATTCTCTAATTTTAGTGAATTTTTTTGTAATTTTTGGTAAAAAGTAATATTTTTGACTTCTTGTT